CAGATAATGCATTAAAACAATGTGAAACTATAGTCACAGAAAGAAATGAGTACATCGAAAAAATTATTATGAACGATTAATTATTGTGTATAATTATTGTACAATTATTAATTATTATGATATACAAATGTACACAAAAAGTTATACTCGACAGTATTACAAGTTCAGCTCACCTTTCTCAGCACTACCAGTCATCCCCGACAATCATGGGGATGTATTAGGTAGCTCATTATTACATGTAGCAAAAATTAAAATGTGTCAGATCCACCAATTCTTATTACATTATTTATCATACATTTACATGTATAATCTAGTACTCCATAGGACTAGGATCACCCACCCACTCACTCTCCCTTCTTTACTCTGTCCCCATACTTACATTATTACACAGCATGGCTGCTACTCCTCCACAACTTGTACATGTATCTGTAAAAATGAAGTAGAGTACAGCAACTCAGTAGCCGTAACTACATGTACTTGCCAATGCATCATGCTACAAGTACATATAACTTCACCATATACATGCAATTAAAAAATCTTGCATTTTGAAATTTTTTTGAGCAAATTTACAAAATTTATTGTCCTTGAAAACTTTTGTGCTATGATGCTATAAATCACACACACACACACACACACGCACACATGCACGCACACACACACGCACACACATGCACACACACTTCAAGCTGATCCAGGGGTACTTTACTCTGGCAGTGTTCACACACTGAGGGTCTCATGGGGCACTCATTTAGTTCATGGCTTTCAAGCTAAGAGCATGGAACTAGCTGACCACATCGAGTGCATTGTATCTCTCTGTACCTGCGATCTAAAAGATGGGTCTTTGTGTATGCATTGATAATAATAATGATGTTTATATGCAATAACGAAGCAAAAAGGGCAATACTCTGATGATACCTCTAAATGTCTCAATTCTCCAGTCCAGTCACATCCCAAGTCTTTATGATCACAATAGACTGAGAGTCCAAGGATTTCTCTCTTGCATGCATTGTCTTGGAAAGTCTATATAATTATAATGCAGAGATAAACATAAACTGAGGTTGTACAAACAAGGTATTCATTATGGTAAGGCATTACATAGTCCATGATAGTTGATTATACATCATACCTCATCTCGTGATATTGGTTCTTGATCTACAGGGCACAGTGGTTGAGACCCCAGTAAAATAGGCTCGATACAGACTTCACAATAAAGGTGCCCACAATCTGTTTGCAACGGTACACTTAGAGCAAGAGAACAGATGCGGCACTGGTGACGTTTCTGTAATTCTTGTACAAAATTAGCTTTGTAGCCCGGCAAAATACTTTCATATGCACTGGCCCTGCTAATCTACTAACTACTAGTGAGCACTCGAGTGAGTCACAAACCTCTCGAGCACGCGAACTAGGTAAGAATAAATTTATTGAATTGCGTCACAAGAGTAAAAAACGGATAATAAATGGATTGTTCAATAGTTTATCATACATGTAGTTGTCAAAAAAAGGTAATGATTCAAAATAATACATTTGTCTTTATCTTTACCTCTTTCTTTATTCTATTATTATATCAGTTTGATGCACAGAAGTATTCTGGTGATCCCTAGCTATAGCTTTTTTGATTAGAAAACTGGTCAGTTTATGTACATTACTGAGTACACATATAATATACATGTACATGGTCATAGAGAGTGCGAGGGTGGGGTCTGGCTACGTGAGATGGAGACTAGTTCTTTTTCATTTGCATGTATTATGTTCAGTGATATCTACTGTAGATGTTATTTTCTGTTAGTCCCCGTGTATATGTCCATGTGTGCGTATATGGGTTTTTGTGAGTGGTGGATATACATGTACCATTAACATAGGAGTGGCTTGTGTTCACACAGAAGAAGCAATGTACACTTGACAACTGTGCATGATTGATTTTCACTATTTATTTTGTAATTCATTGGACTCGCCACACTTGCGTAGGCGGGTACTATGCAGTTGGGTTGTCATTCTGTCACGAAAATTCCTGTTAATTCCTAGTCAATATCTTTATTACTGAGCTCTCCTGAGTTATAATTCTTTAAGCTTTGAGAACAAGGTAATTTATTTAGCTCTGTTGTGTTTTCATAGCAATCTGTGGTAGCAAAAGCTGAATATTTTCAAGAATAGACCACTTTTCCTAGTCAAATCTTCGTGTTTCACTCTATTTGGTCAAGATTAGCATTGATATGTAGAGAAAAGTACCTAGATTTTAGAATGTGGGAATTTTCTAACCTCTTTTTTGTTTGCGAGTTACAGTTGCTCAAAGTTTGTGATTTAGCTTCTTCGAAAAATTTTCAGGCAGCACTGGGGAAAGCAGGAGCAACCAAACTATCTCAGTCTCTTTTATTAAATATCTAGGCAAATTTTTTGTGCTAACTCTTTCTTTGAATAGAGCTTCAGATGCTAAAATTAATTTTAGCTTTTCTTGTTTCTCCTACCCACGTGCCATGTTTATCTGCACTAGGCTGTGTACATGCACTGCACCATAGATATTGCTAAGTGCTGACCACACCTATAATTTATTTTACGAATCAGTGCAGTAATTGCATTGTTGCAGTTTACTCAAAATCTATTATCCTTTTCTCATATCTTATATATATAATATCATGGTGGGGCAGTACAAGTAACACATTATCCCTCAGGTGAATCTCAGCAGGCGAGTCCACGCACCATGGTGTTTCATTATGTACGTGTATGGGTGTGTCAATCAATTGTTTCTATTGTTATGTATTTTGTATGACTGGGCTTAAAAAAATTACTCAAGTCCTGGACTCTTGCATCACTACCAAGCCTCTTAAAAAGTTATCTAGCCCCTTTATCATGATTTTAGCAGTTTCCAGTGCTTAAGGAGCGATTAGAAGCACCAGTAACATGGCAGTATGCTTGAAATGATCTTGGCGCCACCCGTAATTGATGAAAATGAAGGAAAAGGCCAATTAACTGCCGTAAAAGTGGGTGTGGCCAAAATTGTGGTACGCTTTGTGCACCCTCAACACCCTCCTTTCTAATTTCCTAGATACACCCCTGGTTATGTGGGTCCTAATAATGAAAAAACTTGAATTGGTGAAAAAACTGGGAACCTGTGGTACATCTACTTGTTAATTTTAGAAATTTTGTTTGTAATACATTTATAGCTTAATTGCATCCTTTTGTTGACATGATTTACAGGATGTATGGTACATGATACATACATGTACATGTATACACATACATGTACATTTACTTGCAATTTAACTTTGCTTTCAGGGACAGAGTGAGGCTATTGTCTTGGACAGGCATGAAAGCAGTCACACTGTCAGATAAATGAGAGAAATGAAATGAAACGAACTTTGTGCTTTTACCTTAGCCATTTTTGTTGTACATGAGTTGAGCCATAATAGACAATGATAATAATATTGTTGTGAGGGAGGTAAACTTTAGTCATTTACTCAAACGTGTTTGGGCAAGACAAATGAAATAGTGCTTAATTATTACAAATATTTATGTACATCAGGAGACTAGGCAATTTCTTTTCCAAAAATTTATGATGAAGAAAGATTCAGTTTTTTTATATACCGTATACGCGGTAATTTTCGTGGTGTGTTAAATTTTTGTTTTTTTTATGCTCACATTAAATCCACAAAATTCAAACCACCTCTAATGCCATTCTGTTGTATGTAGACTATGGCAAGAACACAAAAATTAGCTCCCACGAATATTAATTTTTGAGTTAAAAAAACAAAGTTTTAAACATTCAAAAATTTGAACCTATACATTACTGCCTAAATATATCAGTGCTATTTTGGTTTGCAGATATCACATTGATCAACAAATATTAATGTCATTTAATGCCTAGGGTGTTTATCTTTCTTATTCACACTTTTACTTTATTCTGTTGGCTGAGTGTGCTTTAAAACTGTATAGCCAGATTTATAATATGACACTAGTCCTCACATTACGTTGATCCTGGAGTTGAATCTGGTTCAACTCCAGCATAAAGCATGTGTCAAAAAGTCAAATAGCCCACACTTTTGATTAAAAATTGACAGTATGTTGGCCTAGCATCATATTGTATATCAGGTTTATATCTTCAATACAATACACTCTAAATCTGTAAGGCCTAACTCTTCTGTTAGAAAAGTCATACTGCCTTGAAGTCATTATAGAGATTAGCTATTCAGCTATATACATGTATGTGTATTGGATTTAATATTAGCATTGTCAATTGACTTTCTTTTTTGGGACATTAATATCAGGTCCCTGATAGGCTGTTTATTCTGTATTAACCTTTACTTGGAGTGTCTAGTGTTATGTATCATCACATTATATTATATTTTGTTCTCCTCTTTTCTATAGAGTGGGCATGCAGCAATGTAGTGCTGCCTTCAAGTGGGACTGCCTGAGATCACAAGTGGTTACTACTACTGCCAGTGATGCTAACAGCACAACAGTATCTCTCCCTCCCTCCCTCCCTCTCTCTCTCTCTCTCTCTCTCTCTCTCTCTCTCTCTCTCTCTCTCTCTCTCTTTCCAGTCCTTTTGACTCCTTCTGTCTTTTCCATGTAGATAAGCAGCATTTGTTGTACCCTGTGAATGGGGCTATTTATTGAAATGAACCTTAAAGGTGTAATGAAGATATTTATAGCCATTATACCCAAGCTTGTATGGTAATTAACTTAATTGCTTTCTCTATTATGTGATTGTAGAAGTTATTGCTGGCATCCGCTTTCACTTGTGAGAAATGCATCACTTTCTGGGTGCTGAATAAAGTCAGTATGTTCTAGTATATTTTTAGTATTTTCTCTAGTACTTTTGATGTGTAATGTTTTAGTATAGTATTCTACAATAGATTATGTAGCCAGTATATTCTAGTACATGTATATTCTTGTGTATCATTGGTGGTTTGGTCTCTTTATTGACTTGTTCCCTTTTTCAGGTTTAGATTGATGACTCTCATTATCATTGTTGTCCATTGGCCTAATGGGTACTGCTATCGCAGTGACTGTATTGGACTGACCAACTTGTCTTTAATTATTCTGGAAGAGAGACAATTAAGTCATTTTAGGGATGGCAAGCCAAGAGCATGTGGCATAAAAGGGTCAAGAAACAATTAAGTGAGTATAGATGATGTTTGAAGGTCAGCATTGATGGTCTTGCATAAAAACCAACTAGATTGAATGGGGACTCCTGATGGAATCTGCTTGGCATTTCTGGTGAACTGTTGATGATAGTAAATGCTAAGCACAAGTAATACGCCAATGAAGTGCTTTGTTATTTTGAGAGCTTTTGTGAGGTGCCAAACCTGGCAAACTCTAAGAATGAGTGCTAAGCACATTAACTTTTGTTTTGGCTTGCAGAATCTTTTGTAGCATCATAAGAAAAATTATAATGTTTCACTGCATAAGACAATAATTACTGACATTATGATTTACATGTACATGTATATATAGCAATTAATAATAGTATTTCTTTTGTTTATTTAGCTGGTATATAGTTTTTTGCACAATTTTTCTGATGCCTTTCTCCTGTTTATCTTTCAAATACTTGTAATCCTCCCTCCTCTTTTTCTTTTCTTGTTTCAGCTTTGTATAAAGAAACAGGATGATACAAAGAGCTATCACGAAAGTCCCAGCTGTTGTACATATCCAGAAAAATTTGGAGGGATCCATGAATACTGCTGGTACTGCACTTACATGTATGCTCAAATGTTTGCCAGGTCAGCTTATACCTTAAGCCTACTATTATTTGCGTCTACTAATTTTAGCGGAATCAGCAAAAGTCATGTTTAGCGTTACTAATTTTAGCGTTTTTAACCAAATTAACTATAAATAATAACCATTATAATGAATAATAATTATTTTGGCGGCTATTTAATTTAGCGATTTAAAGCTCTCTCGCTCATATAGCTAAATTTAGTAGACGCTAAAAATAGTAGGCTTAAGGTATATAGACAGTGACACAAACACACACACACATGTCTCTTTTCAGGTTAGCTCCCTTTTATATGCATTTTGTTGTTAAATGAAGTAGTAATTGGCTTCAGCCTCACCCAATAAAATTTATGTGTTAACACCATTTTATACCAGATCTGTAGATTTAAAGGGTGCTAAAAGGTATGTTATTGTTATATTATAAAATAACATTGTTAAAGGTAACTGAGAGGAAGGTTTAGCACTACCATATGACAGTTTATTTCTGTGTTAAAATATTTCCCCTAAATTCGTTTTTGCTCTGTCATAACAAACTCTTTATCTCGGATCCATTGCCACATGGTCTAGTTTGAAAGCTATTTCCAAAAAATTTATTTTATGTAATTCATAACGCAAGATTTTTTAATTGCATGTATATGGTGTAGTTATATGTACTTGTAGCATGATGCATTGGCAAGTACATGTAGTTACAGCTACTGAGTTGCTGTATTCTACTTCATTTTTACAGATACATGTACAAGTTGTGGAGGAGTAGCAGCCATGCTGTGTAATAATGTAAGTATGGGGACAGAGTAAAGAAGGGAGAGTGAGTGGGTGGGTCATCCTAGTCCTATGGAGTACTTGATTATACATGTAAATGTATGATAAATAATGTAATAAGAATTGGTGGTTCTGACACATTTTAATTTTTGCTACATGTAATAATGAGCTACCTAATACATCCCCATGATTGTCAGGGATGACTGGTAGTGCTG